GTAGGAGGGGCAGCGTGCTTGCTGGCTCGCTGGTTTTCAGCTGCCATGGCATGGCTGTCCGCGGCGACCTGGCTGAATACGCAGGCTGCAGAACGAGCTAATCATGTGCTGTGTCTGCTTTCAAAGGTGGCATGGTCCTTCTGGGAGGCGCCTTTTCCATGTCTGGCATGCCCCTCGTGCTCATTTTGCACCTGATCTGCCGGTGCTGTCCTGCCATCAGGCAAAGGAACCCCAGAATGTCGGGGACTTAGGGTCGAGCGTGGGTCACATTCACGCGGCCGCACATTCCGCTGCCACAGATGCTTTTCCGCTGAATCGGGCGGAACTTGCCCCGGTGCTGCACCCTCAGCGCGACGGGCGATCTGTGGCAGCGTTACCGAAACCACCTCACAGTAAACGGGGCCGAGGTTGGAATGCGTGAAGGCAGGGCTGACCAAGGGGACTAAAATGTTTCCGGGTCTGCCCACGCAGGCTGACGTGGAGTGCTCAGGAATGCTCGCCAGTTGTGGCTTCCGGCGACTCGAAGCTTGTCAGACTCGCGCTGACGAGGCCCTGGTGGAGTACATCCACCAGACTGGAGCTGCGTGGCCTGCTTGCAAGGATCCGTACGGTGTGCCGGACGCTGCCGCCTGTTTCTTCGCCTTTGCACCTGCAGCAGATCGAGGCTGGCCTTCTCCGAAGAGAACGGCAAAGACCTTTTCGGGCTCTTTGCCGAGTACCAGGCTTTGTTTTTTTACCGGCGATTGCTCTCTCCACCTCTCCAGATGCAAGAAGTGCCTGACAGGGGGTCGACATGCTTGTCGACGGGCTCCTGGCGTTCGAGACCCTGGACCGAGTTCGGGTGCAGCTGCTCCAAACGCTGCTCCTGGGCTTGCATGCAGTGCCCGTACCCGCCGCGGCCGCGAGATTAATTTCGAGCCGGTCATGAGGTCGATCCTGCTCGTGAATGTCGCTCAACTGCACGTGGCGCTGCACCGTTTTGGCTGTTCTGATCTACTGCCACCGCTGCAAAGTGCTCACATCTGTTGCAAGGTTCGGAAGCCCACGTTTCGCTATGTTTTGCAAACAGGGGCCTACAACAGACTCCTGCGCGGCAAGTGCGGCACTTGGACACTGAATCGGAAAGCACCGTGGAAGAATGTGGGAAAAGCAGGCCGCGTGCAGGCTGCAGGTCAAAGCAGCTTGCGTCAGGATGTTTTGTTTACACTTTCAACAAGCGCGCTGACATACTTCTACCACACTTCTGGTTTGTTCGGCAGAAACGAATGAGCACTAGCAGCATAGCATTTGCCCAGGCCATACTTGCCCGATGGTGACGCCGAAGCTCGGGCCCCGTCTACGATCTACGACCCGCGACACGGCCCCGTCATTCACTCCAGGGCAGACTGCAACAGCGTCAGGCACTTTACATGAATATACAGAAGCGACTGGCAATGAATGTGGATGAGCAGCCCGAAGCCTACCGCAGACGACAGCACTACACGCATGCCTCGCGAGCTCAACACTTGTGCTGCTCTGTTAGGGCCGCCGAGCTGCTCCTGATGACAGTCCCGTGCTCGGTTCTCCAGCTTAGAACGCCGCCATGCAATGCTGTCCGGCTGAGGTGGGACATGGAGAGGACGAGGCCAGGGGAGCCTTCTGTGTGTCTTGGCTTTGGGTTTAGAAGGAAACATCTCATGCGAAGGCCCCGACCGTGCAGCTCCCACTGATGACAGAGGCCACGGAGTCGTGAGGCTTCCGGTGGCGCGGCTCTGCATTGACGGGCCTGAACCGTCCTGCAGGCCATCGGCTTCCTCTTCAACGAGGAGAACCTGGCCCGCACAGGGGCCCGGGTGGTGTGCCTCAGCGGCTGGGCTGCAGCTATGAGTGAGGAGTGAAGCAGCACATAGCAGCGCTGTGCTGCCCGGAGGCATGCTCAAGATGAACAACGCAGAGGCCCCTCGCTGGTTCAGCAGCTCGCTTCGCGGAAACGTGGGGCAAAATGCAGGTGCGAGCAGCTGCCTTGGAGGCCTCGTCCGGATGCCGCAAGGCTCGAAACCGAGCGTTGTCCAGAACAGGTCTTGGAGGAGCGCCTCCTACCAGTCCTGGCGGCTGCGCTGCAGAGCTCCTGGGCAACTTG